TTTTTTTTTTTTGTACTGGGGATAGAACCCAGGGGCACTTTACCTCTGAGCTACATCACTACCACATTTTATTTTTTATTTTGAGATAGGATCTTGCTAAATTGCTGAGGCTGGCCTCAAACTTTTGATCCTCCTGCCTTAGCCTCCTGAGTTGCTGAAATTATAGGCAATGTGCCATTACACCTGGCTACAGCTTTTCTTTGGCATGTCCAAATTGCCGGCATCAGTATTCTTACACTTTGGGGGCATTATTATGAAAAACAAGGTTATTTGGTGGGCATAGTGGCACATGCCTCTAATCACAGCCACTCAGGAGGCTAAGGCAGGGGGAATCACAAGTTGGAGGACAGTTTTGGTAACTTAGTGAGATCCTGTCGCAAAATAAAAATAAACAGCTGGGGTCATAGCTCATTGGTAGAGTCCGTGAATCCAATCCCTAATGAGTTCAAGATAATACATGCTTTTAAATACTATAGCATAAAATATGGTTACCTAAACACAAGAACTGCAGTACCAGAGCAGTCAATAAGATGGCTACTAAGTAACTAACCATGTACAGCAGGGTTCATTGGATAAAGGGATGTTTCATATCCCAGGTGAGGTATGATAGAAAGGTGCAGAACAGTGCAAGATTTTATTATACTACTCAGAAAAAAAGTATATCTTCAAAACTTATGTGCTGAACTACTAATTTCTGAAATTTTCTATCTAATATATTTGGACTACATTTGATGGTAGGAAACTGAAACTATAGAAAGTGAAACAATGCATAAATGGGGACTCTTGTATTTTATAAACTAAAAGCATACTGTACCATTATATGGTATTTAGTAGTTTACAAGGGGAATTAGGAACAGAGTGTACTGGTTAAGAGCTCAGCTCTAGAGTTAGCATGGAGAATTTCAATTGTAGTTCTGCTACTTACTAGTTATGAAATTTCAGACACATTTACCCCTTTATTTGTAAAACAATTACATTATAGGATTGGCAAGAAGACTAATTGAGATAATACATGTAAAATACTTAGCATATTACCCAAGACCATTGGTAAAGTTTGAAAATTTCAGCTAATATATGTTTTCTAATGTGATCTTGACAAGATCCATTGAGAGAGGCAGGTCAGGTATTATTTTTATTTCATAGATTAGAAAACAGTTTCAGGGAAATAAGTGTTTGGCAAAGGTTAAATGTTAGCTAAATAGTAGAACCATAATTACAATATAGTCCAGAACTTCCACAGTATGACCTATCAGACCAAGAGAGCAGGAAAGATTTTTGCCCTCAGGAGATGAAAAACATGAAAAGGAAATTTAAAAACAAACAAACATTTTAATGTATTTTCACCTACATAAAAAAGGACAATATCTTATTTATTTATGTATTTATTTTAAAGGAAAATCCTGATTCCTTGAGAAGATACCTTGGTCTTTTTTTTTTTTTTTTTAAAGAGAGAGAGAGAGACAGTGAGAGAGAGAGAGAGAGAGAGGGAGAAGGTAATGTTCATTTGACTCTTTCTCTTTGGGACTGTGCCAGAGTTACCTTCTTCTTTCACTTCTACCTTTTTTCTGCCTCCAAAAAACTACCCTTTTCCCGCATACTATCATTGATCCACCATTAGACTTTTTAAATATGAACTCTTGAGCTGGTCATTCTTTCCCTTTTTTCTTCACCACACTTTTTTCTCTATCTGTACCTATTCCACCATTACTTATTCTTGAATACTCACTACTACATAGTCAGTATCTACCAATGTCACATTCTGATCCATCCCTGTTCTGCTTTTTCCATGGATCACTTTGAGATCCCCTCAACCCAGATTTCAATAGTTCAGAGTAAGGTTAGGTAATGGCGTTATATATGCAGGTTTTAAAATGTCATTTACATAACAATAAGCCTATTAAAATTGGGATGTATTTTGTCTTAGGTTAAAAAAAGAAAATTTACAGACAGCACTGTTATACTCAATTGTTTAAAATTCATTAATCACAATAATTTGGAAGAAGTAATTCTATTAAAAGGATAATAAAGAAAAGAACATAATACATAAAATTGACAATTGATGGAGTAAAAATTGCTGTTATTTCATCATGAAAACTGTATATATATATATATATATATATATATATATATATATATGAAATACTCCTCACCAAGCAGCTTAGACCTGTAGAAATTATTTTATGTGTGTACAATGACAGCATACAAGTATGTGATAGCATAAGACTAGAGCTATACTTGTCAATACAGTAGAAATCTGTGGCCTAGGAGGAAAGACGAGGTGATTCAGAAAAATAAAAATAATAAAGTTTGAGAAAAAAATGGTTCTTGGAGCCCAGAAAGATTTTTGGTTTAATTAGAGTACAAAATACCATATAAGTATTATACTGAAGTTACATCTGTTAAATACATCACATGTATAATGGATTTCAAGGAAAATATGTTGAACTTATCACAAATTAAATAAAAATTTACAAAAGCACATAAAATAGCATGTGTGTAAACAAAACTAATCATTATATAGACAACTATGTTAACTCAATTTAATATATAATATTTTCCTATCAAAATTTTAGCATGTTTTTCTTTAAATACAAGAAAAGAGCTGGACCTGTTGGTGCACAATTGTAATCCCAGTACCTCGGGAGGTGTATTGTGAGCTCAAAGCCAGCATCAGCAAAAGTGAGGCCCTAAGTAACTCAGTGAGATACCGTGTCTAAATGTCATACAAAATATGTTTGGGGATGTGGCTCAATTCCCCTGAGTTTAATTCCAAGTACTAAATAAAAGAAAAAAAAAATAAGGGACCAAAAAACTTATCTTAGAAATGAAATATATGTAAAATACCCCCAAACTTTTAATAAAAAGAAAACAAATAATATAGTTATTGTTATGAGACACATTTAATGTATATTATGAAACTATATTGCAATAATATTGACCAATATATCATAATATAAATCAAATCTGAAACCATATGTAGATCAATAGTATTGTTAAAAGCAATAGAAAGGCATATGTAAAACCGACCATATGAAAAATAACATCAGAAGTGAATGAATGAATTTATCCAACCTAAAGTTAGAATTGGGACATAGAGGCAAAGTTCACTGTTAGAGTGTGTGTGCAGAATGTGTAAGATAGTCAGTTCCAAACTTAGCAACACTGTAAAAAGCAAATATTAAGAGAGAATGATGTTGAAAATAAAGCAGAATATTAAATGAGACACTCTCCTTCCATATATAGATAAATTTAAGGAAAAAACTACTGTGAGTATCTCTGGCAAAATCATGAATGAGTAGAGAGATTTAGATACACTGGATATTAGTCTGGTCTTAAGAAATGTACCATATTTGGGACAAAATTCCCAATTACCATCATCACCTCTAGTGAACAGAAATGTGAGAGAGGGGCTGATGATGTAGCTCAGTTTTTAAAGTGCTTGCCTTCTTTGTACAAGGCCCTGGGTTCAATCTCTAGCACCACAAAAAAAATTAAAAAGAAAGAAATATGAAAGAAATGATACAAAAAAATGGTGATATGTAGGAGCCATAAAATTTTTCACAAGTGCTTCATCAGCTGTGACCAAGACACAAAAATACCCAAATATCAAAGCTGTCAATTTATCTAAAAAAAATCTGCCAGCATATTTTCCCAACTGCTGTTGCTGACAGATGAAGTTCACTCTAGCTTGTATTATAGGCGAAATAGGGAGGAATCTAGTAAACTACTCTTAGCTTGAGTGACATTTTAGCACTTCCTGAATCCTGCCCCAACCCTGATACACTAGTAATAAGGCCAGAACTACTAATTCCTCCTAGAAAAATTTATTTTGTGGGTGTGTGTATTGAATGTTTCACATTTAACATATTTTGTTTATGTTACTATGTTCCTGATACACTAGTAATAATGCCAGAACCACCAATTGCTCCTAGAAAGTTTTTTTTGTGTGTTTGAATGTGTGGATGTGTGTGTCGATGCGTGTACTGAATATCTCAACTTTAACATATTTTATTTACCTTACTATGTCCTGAAGTTTCAAACTCTAGAACAAAAGGTGATTGAGCTTATGTAAATCTCTGTAGATTTCAAACAAATGAATTTATATTCTTTTCCCAGCACTTTTATGAACTATGATACCAAACAGCTGTTCAGAAAGGAGCTTAAAAAACAATGATCCCTGGGCTGGGGATGTGTCTGAAGTGATAGCGCGCCAGGGCACCACATACATAAAAAGATGTTGTGTCCACCAAGAAATGAGAAATAAATATTAAAAAATTCTCTCTCTCTCTCTTTCTTTAAAAAAAAAAACAATGATCTCTGTTTATTCCAACAAATCTTTACAGAATACTCCTACATTGGCTACTTCATATAAAATTTCCTCAGGGATAAAATGCATCAGTCAAAGAGATTTTCTGTAGCCTGGGCAGTGTTGTTGACAAGGTCATTATAATAATCTAAAAGAGCTAGGTGTGGTGGCCAATATCTGAAAGGTAGTATGGACTCCAGAGTATAGGTGTATATGCATAGATAAAAATTTTTGTTACAATATAAAGTTAATATAGATACTTTTGAAAAAAA